TCGCTTGGGGTTTTCTCACGATTTACTGGGGAATCGCGCTATCGCTCGAGACTTCTTCGCGATTCGTCCACGCTTCAGCGATCCGCCTGCTCGACCTGGCCGCCTGGGCCCGCCTTACCGACCTGCCCGCTATGGGTCTGCCCACCCGATCTGCCCGTCTGGTTCTACCACTTGTTTTCTGCTCCTTGCCCCCCTGCTAATTTCTGTCGTGCTCCATTCTTCTCCCTCCCCTTTGCACCCGTCCTCTATTCCCTTGTTTTAGGGGCTGCACTAAATGCACGTGGCATGTAAGGAAGATGTACCCTCACAAGGGGTTACGATCGAAGACGACGAGGGCGGGTACCACGGGTTTGGGATATACATATTGATTGGCACGTGAGCATATAGGAGCGAACAGTCTTGAAATAATTGTTGTTGAATATTCGTTTTCAAAAATTGCACTGGAGAAAACCCAATTAGCGGATGACTTGAATTAGTACTATGGATCTTTAGATCGATTGTGAGGTAGATAAATAGATCGAGCGTGGAATAGATCGTGAGGACGATTGTAAGGTCGATCGTGAGACCGAGAGTGAAATCGATTCAATGAGATCGATAGTGAGATCGAACGCGAGATCGCCCATGCGATCTCTAGTGAGATCGCTCGTGAGATCGTATGTGAGATCGATGGTGAGATCGATAGAGAAGTGGGTAATGAGATCGATGGTGAGACCGATCGATAAGAACCAGGAACCCGGGAACCCGGAAATTCGCCGCCCTCCGAAATCGGCCTGGAACCCGGAATTGGGAACCCGGGAACCCGGGAACCTGGGAACCCAGCGTGCGACCAAAATCGGCGGGACATTTTCGCCGAATCTTCCTTTTTCCGCGAGGACCCCTTCAGTGCAAGCACTGATTGGGGAATTATTGCTGATCTCTAGAAACGGTTCCGCGCGCTCTCGCCCTGACGCCGGCTACATTTTTTCTGAAAACGAGGCTCCCGCTCGAGCGCTGGCTTGAGCCTGAATGTGGGCCCTTGGAGGCCTAGCTATGGCAACAACGGCTCCCGCTCGATACTTCTTCACAGTTTACCCTGAGACACCCTAGCCAGAGAGGCACCCGAACTCAGGAACGGCGCATTCGCTCGAGACTTCCTCGCAATTCAGTCAAGTTGGCGGAGGTCCAGCCACGACGACAAGGGCTCCTGCTCGATACTTACTCACGATTTACTCCGCGAGCTAAGAAGGCCCCCGAACTCAGGAATGGCGCTCTCGCTCGAGACTTTCCCGTAATTCAGGCAGGTTTCTGGAGGCCCAGACACGGCGACAAGGGCTCCCGTTCGATATTTCTCCATACGCATGCCGACAGCCCCTGGCCAGAGAGGCTTCCGAACTCAGGAACGGCGCTATCGCTGGAGACTTCTTCGCACTTCAGTCAGTGACCGACAAGGAAGATATTCCCCCCGAAAGGGGGTGCAATGGAAGACGAAGTGGGCGGGTATCGAAGCTTGGGGTATACGGAATGCCAAAACACGCGTGCCAGTAAGAGCGAACAGTCTTATGGGTGTTGTTGTTGTTGTTGTTGTTGTTGCTGATGCTGTTGTTCTTCTAGTGATAGTAGTCGTAGTGATAGTAGTCGTAGTAGTAGTAGTAGTAGTAGTAGTAGTAGTAGTAGTAGTAGTAGTAGTAGTCGTAGTCGTAGTCGTAGTCGTAGTCGTAGTCGTAGTCGTAGTCGTAGTCGTAGTCGTAGTCGTAGTCGTAGTCGTAGTCGTAGTCGTAGTCGTAGTCGTAGTCGTAGTCGTAGTAGTAGTGGTTGCTGGTGTTGTTGTTGCTGCAATTGTGTTTTTTTGTTGTTTCTCTCTTTCTCTCTCTCCCTCTACCCAATTTCCTTCTCTTTCCAAGTCTTCTCTCCCTCCTCCCCCCTTCCAAGGACATCCGCATCCCCCCTCCTGGTCCTTGCCCAGAAGGGCTGGGACACTCGGGGCCCCCCAAACGGGGTGGTGACCACACCGTGCGGTGAGTCGGTGGGGATTCGGGGTCACCGCACGGTTTTGGGATTCGGGTCGTTCTCCGAGGACGTCTCGGGCGACAGGGGCCTCCAGGGTCCCAAGACCGTGCGGTGACGGACCGTGCGGTGAGGTCTTGCGGGATTTGGAGGTCACCGCACGCTCCGTCACCGCACCGTTTCGGGACTCCAAAGACACCGACGCCCGCTTCCCCTCCCCTTGTGGCTTCTGGAGGCAGCAGAAGAATTCACAACTGCGTCAAAATCGCCACCCTCGGGTGGCGAGTTCTGTGCACATCCACTGCCCATGGCCAGCCCCATCCTGCGCCCAGGAGCGGTGCATACGCGTTCCTGGCCAAGCCGGGAGGGCGTGTACACCGTTCTTAGAAGGAGGAGGAGAGCCAAGAGGGGGAGGAGGAGGAGGAGGAGGAGGAGGAGGAGGAGGCGGAGGAGGCTAAGGAGGATGAGGAGGAGAGATATACCTCCCCGCCGGTCCGAAGGTGGGTGTGCTCGAGAAGTTCGATCCCGCTGCGCCCGACTGGAGGGCGTCGGGGACCCAGACCGCCCACTGGGCGGGCTCGGCCTTCGGCGGCGTCCTGAGCACACGCGCAGCTACGTCGTCGCCGTCATCGTCGTCGTCGTCGTCGTCGTGTTCGTCGTCGTGGCCATCGTTGTGGTCGTGGTCGTCGTCGTCGTCGTCGTCGTTGTCGTCGGCGTCGGCGTCGGCGTCGGCGTCGGCGTCGGCGTCGTTTGCGTCGTTGGCGTCAACACCGTTGTCGTCGTCGTCGTCGTCGTCGTCGTCGTCGTCGTCGTCGGCGTCAGCGTCGGCGTCGGCGTCGGCGTCGGCGTCGGCGTCGTGGTCGTGGTCGTCGGCGGCGTCGTCTCCGGCGGCGGCGGCGTCGGCGTCGGCTTGAGTGGCGGCGGCGGCGTCGGCGTCGGTGTCGGCATTGGCGTCGGCATCGGCGCTGGCGTCGGCGTCGGCGTCGGCGTCGGCGTCGTCGTCGTGGTCGTCGTCGGCGTCGGCGTCGGCGTCGGCGTCGACGTCGGCGTCGGCGTCGGCGTCGGCGTCGCCGTCATCGTCGTCGTCGTGGTCGAGGTCGTCGTCGTGGTCGTGGTCGTGGTCGTCGTCGAAGTGGTCGTCGTCGCCGTCGGCGTCGTCAGCTCCGTCGTCGTCGTCGTCGTCGTCGTCGTTGGCGTCGTCGCCGTCGTGGTCGTCGTCGTCGGCGTCGTCGTCGTCTTCTTCGGCGTCGTCGTCGTCGTCGCTGTTGTCGGCGTCGTCGTCGTGGTCGTCGTCGTGGTCGTGGTCGTGGTCGTCGTCGGCGTCGTCGTCGTCGGCTTCGTCGTCGGCGTCAGCGCAGTCGTAGTCGTCGTCGTCGTCGTCGTCGTCGTCGTCGTCGTCGTCGTCGTCGTCGTCGTCGTCGTCGGCGGCGGCGGCGGCGTCGGCGTCGGCGTCGGCGTCGGCGTTGGCGGCGGCGGCGTCGTGGTCGTCGTCGTCGTCGTCGTCGTCGTCTCCGGGATCAGGGTTCGACGGCATGTGTTATTTTTTTGGGCAGCCAGGAACTTTCGCCAGGAGCCAAGAGGGGATGGATGGGGGGGGTCGGGGAGGAGGAGGACGGGGGAAATGAGAAAGGTGGAGGGTGTGAGAAGGGAGGAGGGAGAAGGGAGGAGGGAGATGAGTTGGGATGATCGGGGAGGGCGGGAGGGAGGGAGGGAGGGAGGAGGAGGAGGAGAAGGGAGGGAGGGAGGGCGGGAGGGAGGGAGGAGGAGGAGGGAGGGAAGTGAGTGCTGGAGGTTGGTGGGGAGGGGCAGGGAGGAGAGAGATGCGGAAAGAGGAGGGAGGAGGGAGGAGAGGCCGTCATGACCGTGTCAGTGACAATCTCTCCTCTGACGACGGCTACCTGGCCCGTTGGGGCCCTTGGCCGTGGCACACTGGGGCCCCCCCAGGGCTCCTCCAGGGTCCCCGCAAAGATGGATTATCAGGAGGGGACAAAAACACACAGACACAATTCATCGTCGATTCCTCAGAACATATGGGAGAATATGGGAAGTGGGGAGGAAGACAGAAATCCAGAAAATATAGGGAAATATGGGGAATCGAGTTATTTGTGTCTATTGCGAAGGCCTTACGGCCGGTGCCGCCGACCCTGAAGACGAAGCTGTCTGTGACGCCGTGAAGGCCGAAACGTCGTATATGCTAGACATGTAAGTTTCCGATGGAAAAGTAATGAGTGTGGCCTCTTGGGCCCTTCTGGGGGGTGCTCTTGGAGGGGGCCTGGGACGTCTTGGAGGCTTCTTGGACGGTCTTGGGGCTATCTTGGGCGTCGTCGGCCGATCTTTGGGCGACTACTCGGGGCACTCTTGGGCCGCCTCGGGGGCCATCTTGGGCATTCGGACCTCATTTGGAGTGTTTTCGAGGTTTCGAGGCCGCCCGAGGAAAAACGAATCTGCCCCCCCCCCCCCTCCGGGACCCCCACCCCCTGGGGAAGGGATCAAAGGGAAGGGGCTTCCCTTCGAATCGACAACGGCATGACGGCAGGAGGGTACGGCCCAAAAAGAAAAAAGGGGGAAGGAAGAAGGGGGGGCGGCGAGGAACGGACGAGGAAGCCCCTCGCACACGCCGACAGGGTCGGCGGATTTATTTGTGTGTCCCAGTTTCCCTTCAGATTAAGGGGGCGTGGATTAGCGACGGGTCCCGTTTCCAAGGGAAATCGCGGCACCGGCCGCATCTCGGTGGGGGCACCTCCCCCGATCCATGGATGTGGCGACCGCGCGCCACATCCATGGGTCGCTAGTCCATGTTTGCGCGCCCCCGACTCCTGGAGCCTCTGCGGAACCTCCCTCGGGCTCTCCCGGCAGGCTCCTGGCGCTCTGCAGAACGTTTCCAAGACGGCCCCACGGCCCCAAGAGGCGCCTGGGCTCCCCCAGGAGGCTCCCGGCGTGAAGTCGGGCGTGCCCCTCTATAGGGGGAATCTTCAACAATAGCCAAAAGATAATATGGGGACGATCTTTTGAATATTTGTGGCTATTGAATCTGTTTTTGGTATTGTTCGTTTCTCGTCCGAAATCTGGGCTTTCTTTGTGTTTTTTTTTGTTGTTTGATATTTTTCATTTCACGCCCGACCTAATCCCAGCGTTACAACTGGGCCCCACGACGGCCCCAAGAGGCCGCCGAAGTGCCCACCCAGGACCTCCGAAGGGACCAAAGCAGTCAAGAACCTCCGGACTGGCTAAGGTTTCCCAGTATTAGCGGGCATTCCAGTTCGTGGACAAAGTGTGGCTCCAAGACGCCCTCGGCGCTTCAGAAGGTCACCCAGGGAGCCCCAAAAATGACTAAGGGATGCACCAGGACTGCTCCGAATGCCAAGCCTAAGTGCGACTTCAGACACGATCGCGTGGTCTTCCAAGCCACGGGCCCGATTATCCGGACACAGCCCCTCTGGCGTGCTAGTCAGACCACTGGCAGCAATAAATATAACATCATTAGTAGTAGTATGATTACGGGGAATTCGCCCAGGACGATTATGAGGGAAAGACGCATTTCATATATAAGAACATGTAGCGATTGCTAGTACTTTTATCAATATGAACAGTACCGCTGCTACTACTGCTACGGAGACAACCGATAAGGCTATCACCAGTAACAGTAAAAGCGATAATCTAGGCAAGTCTGTACTATCACCCCCCTTCTCACTCGTAGGTGAATAGGGCTGGCTGGTCCTAAAACCTCGACCTCCTCCTTCTAGTACCACCACTAGTACTACTACTGCTGTTACTGCTGCTACTGCTATTACTACTTTCATTATTGCTACTATTTAATCGCTTCGCTCATTCCGCCGGCCCATACAGTCTCATGTCTGCCGTTTGCCCGAGGGCCTGGTGTCAATGCGGCGCTTTGGGGGTCCCTGGGGCCGCTTGGGGGACTCCTGGGGCGCTCGGGGGGGCATTTGGGGGGCCTCCTGGGGCCGCTTGGGGGACTCTTGGGGGCCTCCTGAGGGCCTCGTGGGGGCCTCTTGGGGCCTCTTAGGGGCCTCTTGGGGCCTCGTAGGGGCTTCTTAGGGCCGAGGGCTCGAAATGTTGTTTCGTGTTCCCTCTCTGGGGCCCCTTTGGGGGCGTTCTTGGGGCCCTCTTGGACCGTCTTGGAGGCTTCTTGGGCCGTCTTCGAGCCCTCTTGGGCCATCTTGGGGCCCTCTTGGGGGCCTCTTGGGCCCTCTTGGGGCGATCTTGGGGGCCTCTTGGGCCGTCTTGGGGCGTCGGGAAGCCGAAAAGGTGGAAGCTCCAAAATCTCTCAAAAACCTTAGGAAAAAACAATGAATTTTGCCTCCGGGGGCCCTCTTGGGAGTGCTCTTGGAGGCCTCTTGGGGCGTCTGGGGGCTATCTTGGGCGTCTTGGAGCGATCTTGTGGCATGTCGGACCCCTCGTGTACCATCTTGGGGGCCTCTTGGGGGCCTCTTGGCCTTTCTTGGGGCTCTCGGGGACGTCTCGGAGCCCTGTTGGTGCGCTCATGGAGCGCTCCTGGAGCGCTCTGGGGGAGTCTCCCGGGGATCGGTCGGGGATCGCCCGGGGTACTTTTCGTCCTGGGACCCCCAGGGGCCGCCCCGCGCGCGCGAACTAGAGAATTGTTAACCAGTTACCGGAGATCTTAGCACGCCTCTGGCCCGTTGGGCCGGCGAATTTTTATTTTCACTACTAGTAGTCGTACTAGTAGTACTACTACTACTCCTACTACTACTACTATCACTACTACTACTACTACTACTACTACTACTCCTACTACTACTACTACTACTACTACTACTACTACTACTACTACTAGTACTAGTACTACTACTACTACTACTACTACTACTACTACTACGACTACTACTACTACTACTACTACTACTTCTACTACTACTACTACTACTACTACTATCACTACTATTGCTGCTACTACTACCACTACTACTACTACTACTGCTACTACTGCTACTACTGCTACTACGACGACTACTACGGCTACTGCTACTATTACTACTGCTCCTACTACTTCCAGCGCTACTACTATTACTACTACTGCTACTACCACGACTACTACCAGTGCCACTACTGCTACTTCTACTGCAACTGCTAATTCTACTACTACTACTACATCTATTTCGACGACGATTATTGCGACTACTATTTCTATTACTCGTACTACGGTTAATACTACTACTGACTACTACTACTACTACGGTTAATACTACGATTATTATTGCTAGTCATACGACTACAGCTAATATTACTGACGCTCGTAGTAGTAGTAGTAGTAGTAGTAGTAGTAGTAGCAGTAGTAGTAGTAGTCGTAGTAGTAGTAGCACTACTACTACTACGACCACTACTACGGTGACTACCTAGTATTCCTACTGCTACTACTGCGACTATCACTGCTGCTATTACGCTTAGTACTACCTTTACTGCTGTTGCTACTACCACTGCTGCGACTACTGCTGCACCCCGTACTAAGACTAATGCTACTACTACTACTACTACTACTGCTACTACTACTACTACTACTACTATTACTAC